ATCGCGTCGGTGAAGAACAAACCTTTTTTTCCTTTTCTGTACTTGTTTATTTTTCTTTGTACAAAACCGAACCAATCACGTCCTGGAAATTCTCGTTTGAGAACCAGTTCTGGTTTTTTTTGGGCTTCTATTGTTAAGAACTCCAGTTTATATCCTCCGAGACTTAAGTGACAAAACCAGAGATATACTATCTTAGGCTTAATAAAAGCATCTGAAAGTTATGACAGCAATTTTGCCATGTGCATTACAGGAAGAAATTACATACAAAGAAATTGAGGAACAACTTAATACACCGGATGTAGTTAACAAAATTAAAAAGTTAGAAACCGATTTATTAAATCAAGTCTTACTCAGTGGTTTCTGGAAAAGGAAACATCGTACAGTCGAATTACCCTACGAAACAAAATTTCATATTCAAATGAATCATGATTTATTAGAACATTGCAAAAAAGAAATTCAAGATTTACTAACACAAAAAATTAATCAGGCCATCCACGTACGCAGAAAAAGAACGCGGTGTACCAAGACTAATCATTAATTATAAACCACTAAATAATGTATATATTACAATGGATCCAATATCCTATACCTTGTAAAAGAGATTTATTGAAAAGACTATACAATGCAAAAATATTCTCAAAATTTGATATAAAAAATGGTAAACCACTTTTGACATCTAAAACTCTCTAAACACTCAAAATTAAACTCTAATAAAACATAAATAATATAAAAAAAAATAATTTTGAAAAAATGGTATTTTTGTAAAAATTTTAAAAGTATGGCATTTTTGTAAAGTGACATTTGAAAAGTGGCACTTGAAAAGTTGTATTTTTTGAAATTTCACTAAATTGAAACGGAGGGAGTATTGTTTTTAAGTTAAAAAGAATACGAAAAGTGCTTTGGTTTCCGTTCAATCATTTGATTGTTTCGGGAATGTGATCGATAAGTCAAAGAAATATAACTAAGGAGTTAAGTTTTTGTTGAATGGGCGCTTCATTCTAGAGTACACGTCACTTCCAAACTCCTTAACATGCTAATGTGTCATAATATGATG